ACTCAAGAGTCTCCAGATGGTTAATTTCATGCCACAGAGATTTCAAAGTAGAGAAATAAACAGAGACTGGTTTCTCTCCTTGTTTGAGGTTATTTACCTCACACTTCAATTCATAGGCTCTAGCAACATTAAGGGGTTGGGAGTAGGTCTCTTTCATGACATCCCAGATCTCCTTAGTTGTTTTTGCCTACAAATAATTTCGGCTGATATGTGGCTGCATAGAGTTGCACAGCCATGTCATAACCAAGTAGTTCTCCTGAACCCACTTGGTATACATTGGATCCTCCTTGGAAGGTTCTTTCACATCTCCCAATAGGTAGCTAAGCTTTCCTCTTCCCCCAATAGCCATCATGGCTGATTGGGCCCATTCTAAATAATTGGATCCATCAAATCTCACAGTTGTAATCTGAAACGCAGTCTTAGACATATTACCAGAACTGTTGTTCCCAAAAACACCTTCCCCCTGATTCTTGAACTCCATTCTTGGTTAAGAATCAGTAATTAAAAACTATTAGAGCTACTGCAATAGAAAACAGCACTTAAATAACTTATCATAGTCAGAATTCTGTACAAGTTCAGTTCAGATCTGATCTGAAACCAACCGGCAGTTCAGAATGTAAGCAGTCCAATAAAGGTTCTCACCCCAAAACAGGCTTTAAAGCCAAAACAGGTCTAGAAACCACTTAGAAAACAATTTGTAATGCTGAAGCAGATTTAGGGTTTGATCGTAGGGTTAAGGAAACCTTTGTGAGAACATAAACAATGTTCAGCCGCACCTTCCAAATAGGTTCACATTCAAATCTGGTCGTAGGGTTAATGACAAACCCTAAAAAAAATCAGAAAAACCTGATCGCCTCTGAGAAAATAAAGGAGAGTTCAGCTGCTCCTCCTAGATAGGTCCAACCTATCTTTGACTGACAATGATCTCAAGGAAAAATAAAAAACTTACCCAGAAAACTCTAATCACTACCTTCAATCTCGGCCTGAACCCTAATATTGATCCTTTTAACCTTCTATGATTCTTCCTGATTACCAAAACACTCTCCAAGCCTCTACAAGCCTTCGGACAACTACTAAACCCTTTTGGTAACCTCCAAGAATTAGCCGACGAACAGTTCTTTGTAAGCTTCCAGCCCTAGGCAGTTCTCATGTGGTCGACTGGACTAGACACACATGAGAAACCCTAGATAGGCTCTGATACCAAGTAGTCGATCAAGACTACAATCAGTCTTGAATCCAAAAAGGTTTCGGATGGAGAAAAGAAGAAGAAAAGAAGGAGAAAAGGAGGAGAAGCAGAAGTACACAAGTGTTTAGAAAGGAGAGGGACAGATTGATTGAATCTGCCGCCCCACTCTTAATATTTATATGTTATGTTCACTAATTGTAGAAAAAGGCAGAATTGCCCTTAAGGCTTACATGGCAAATAAAACAATAATAAGCTGAAATAACAAGCTGTCTGAAATAACTACCAACTAACACCGATATAACTAACAAAGATTACATGTGCTGTCATACGAACACAGTGGGGACCACAGCCGTGGGGCCCACATCAGTGTTCTCTACATCTTTTAATTATAAAATGTAAAAAAAAAAAATACTTATTAAAGAAGAAATTCCAATTGCTCTATGAATATGATAGATCATCCATATAATTATAATATATTCAATCATTGTGATCAAGTGATAAAATATAATTAATTATTATTTATTTTTAATTCTAAAAATATAAAAAAACTATTTTTATCAATAACCAGAATTTTAATAATTGATATATAAAAGAGAATACAGCAACCAAGGGAAGGGATAAACTCTCTTAACCCTCCCCAAGGTTAGAAAAGTACAAGCAAAGATTACAAATATGCCCACAATGACCGAGTCCTTCCCACCCCCTATTTAGCTAAGGCGTCAACAAATGAGTTAGTACTCCTTTTAACCCACTGAAGCCTTACGACCATACACCTTGACAGCCACTTAAATTCCCTTTTTTCATTTGCATATTCCCAAAGTTCATTCTCTTCCTTGTTCAGCCATCCACTTGGAGTCACCTTCAATGATTAGGTTTCGAACATTTAATTCTTTTGCTCTTCTTACCCCTTCCAACACAACCAAGACCTCTGCCTTGAGAGAGTCTCCTCCACCCACTGACTCAGAAAAAAGTGCCAAAACCTGTCCATCCGCATTCCTGGAAATGCCTCCAATACCTGAAGGTCCTAGGTTATCTTCACTGCTTCTGTCAAAATTTAATTTAATGAATCCTTCAGCTAGTGGAAACCACGTTGGGGAAGGAGCATCTTTCCTTTGTGTTGATTTCAATTGCTCTATGGTTATGATAGATATATCCATAGATCTAAAACATATCAAGTCTTCATAGGCAGATAAAAAATAGCATTTTCAATTTTTTTGTTATTTTATATTTTTCCCAAAAAATAGTGATTTTGAGTGTAAGAAATGTAGATCAACATAGATTTAAACATTCAAGAAAAAAAGAAATCACAAGATATTATGAAAAATTGAAAAAACTTACCTATTTTTGCCATATTTTTTTCAAATTTTGAAAAATCATCAAAAAACATTAATGATTTACACTTGTTTCTTGCATATTTTTGCATATCTAACACTCTAGGAATAGGGTTTGGAGTTTTAGAGTCATTTTGGGGTTAAAGAAGGTTTATTACAGGGTAAAGAAGCTTTCTTTCCCCCTTCATTTTTTTTTCATTTTTTGTCCGTATCTTTTTCATAGTGTATCGGTCGATACGCCCTAATACACCCCCAATATGGCCCGATACAATGGAAAAGAGACAATACCACTGATTTTCCACCAATATCTCATATCAGAATTTTAAAGATATGATACGATATGCCCGATAAGGGGCGTACCATATCGAAATTTGAAACCTTGATGCTGGGCAATGCTAAGAGCAATGATATAACAACACTTGCCCTTACATAAATTAGTAGGAAGATCAAGGTTAGAGGGTGTTAGGCACCACTTCAAGGGGGTGCGACCTCCTGAGAAAATGGGAGAGATAGAGAGATGGAAAGAGAGAGAGAGAAAGATTGTTCGAATGGTGCAGATCCTCCTTATTTCTTTGGTCTTTTATATTGTACATGTTATCCCATCAAGATCAAGATTTGGTAGTTACATCTTAGTTGTATCTTAACAGTCTGATGTTTGTTTCTTTCCCCACTTGCTTTGTTGCAACCGAATTTGTTGGGTGGCTCTTCTTGTCTTCCATCTAGAGTATACTTGTTGTATTATTATTGCCTTGGCTGCCGTATCTTGGCTCCTAACAAGTCCTCCCATTGGAATCACCTCGTCCCCGAGGAGTGGTTGGGGGTACCTTTGTTTGAGAATTGCACAAGATTCCGATGTGGCATCATGCACTACTATCCTGCCCATTCTACTAAGGCCTGTTGCTGAATTTGCTTCCCCACTTTGATCCAACAACAATCCAAGATGGCTCGTGGTTGTAGTTGTAACGTGCTCATGTCATCAAATTCAGGTAGAATGGTGGAGCTTGTTATGTTGGTTCCCACACATTGTTTAAGGAGAGATACATGCAAAATTGGGTGTATTCACGATGTGCCTGGGAGATTCAATTTATAGGCCACAAGCCAAATATGCTCAGTAATCTAGAATGGCCCATAGAACTTGGGTGATAATTTGTGCCACCCTTTCCAGGCTAGAGAGATAAAAGGGCTAGAGAGGTTTGTCTATATGGATGTAGCTTGAGATATACACACTTCCCAACCTGGAATTCTACCGCTCTATGTTTTTTATCATATCGGGCTTTCATCCAAGCTTTAGTAGCAACTAAAGACTCCATTGTTGGATAGAAAGGAACGGCAGAAGGTCTAGTAGCTAATGGGGTTATGGTAGTGGAGACTATTAGCATTGTCTTTCTTACTACATCCCTTCTTAAATCTTGCTGGAACCAAGTGGGGTGCAACTTCCAACAATTCTCTCATGTATGTTTAGGCTTTTTATTCCACAGTTCCTTTGCAATCTTCACCCAGATATAATTCTTCCTAAAATAAGGCTGCATAGTATTAATCAACTGGGATACTACCATGTAGTTATTTTGCATCCATTTAGAGTGAATGGGGGCCTTAACATCTGGTTTTACCATGTCCCAAATAATATAACCAAGCTTCCCATGACCACCAATAGCAATCATCATGGTCCGAGACCATTCTAATGATAACCAAGTTCACTTGAACTCTGGGATCCAAGAAACCGTTCTGATCACTTCCACTAGGTTCTATTTCCTTTCAAAGACTTTTAAAGGAACACAAATTTGATAGTTCAGACTTAGTCCAAGAAACCCCAATAACACCAGGCCAAGAAAATCAACAATTTGGAAACTTAAAATTAGTCCAAAAGGCCTCAACACCTAAACGATTTCAGAAACAGATCAGTACAACCAAAAAAGATCATGATCCACCACTAGAGCCAACACTGGATTGGTCAAACCAAGAATCCCCTACTGCGGAAAGCAGAAAACTACCAAGAAACCTGATCAATCTTATCCAGGAAGTCCAATAATGCCAATCAATCTCGTAGAGATTAATCTATACTAAAACAGAAACAGTCTTACAGACTGCGTAAACTGCCTACATGAGCTTTAGAGTGGTAGCTCTGATACCAACTTGGTTGCAGCAAGAAAGGTTAAACAGAAACAGCAAAGGCTAAGAGAAGAAAGGAGGAAGAGAGATTCAGAAAGGGAGAAGATAAGGGAGGAAGAAAGAACAAGAGAAGAAAGAGTTTCTAGGTAGAACAGATCACGGTACTCTATTAGAGTCCCACTAGAATTTATAGTAGATCATAAATCAATGTAAAATTACATATGCACCCCTCATAGGGTGGCAGCAATATAAGGCTAAAAATAAAAAAAAAAACATACAAGGCCCATTGGGCCCAATAAGAAAGAATAATTTAAAAGGCTAACAGGCCCACAATAGACATGAAAGAGATAAAAATAAGCCCATCATCAACATACCTCAACAGCAGTTCGGCCTCTTAAAACTCGTTCCTTATCAATTCCCCATGAGAGGCACTCAGGATTGCGCCTTCCCTCTCTATCTGTAAAAAATATGTCAGGATTATTCCGACCAATTTCTGCCACCCAATGGGGCAGAGGAATGCAAACATCATCACCAACATTGCCTCCACATTCATGAAATGACATTACCACCTGCCCCAATCAAAAATTGAAGAATCCAAAAATTAGATCCTATAGGGATTGAAAAAAATATCACTTCTCATATCAAATGTTCACATGTAACAAGGAGCTAATGCACACAGTAGAAAAATGAAAATATTCCTCAGTCTAATATTACACAACAATAATACGAATTGCTTATTCAAGTGGGTCTCTAAGGCTGCTAATAGTCTGGCAGATGCTTTGGCTTGGGATGAGACAGTAAGAGAAGGTTTAATGTGGGATTACCCAGGCCCAGGGTCAGGGATTAAAACGTAAACATTGTTTTTTGTTTGCTACCTAATCCATTGGCTGGTTGTGTATTGATACTCTGGTACTCATCTCCATGCTTGAGGAATGAGGTTTATTAAGGGTTATACATCACCTGCAATTTAAAATCGAGGTCACGCACAATTTGAAAGAGCCGCTTGTAACCACTCCAATTATACTCCTGTGGAGCATGTGCCTCCACAATTCCCCACCAGCAATCAACCATAATGCCATCAACATTAATTGACTTCAGTACTCTTAACTGCTTTAGTAGACCATCTGGATCAACCAGTTCACACTTCATATTAATTACTCCCAGCTGCCAAAAATGATAAGATATGAAAGTAAGCCTTAACAAGTGAAAAGATTTCTTCTTATCATCAGAGTTACAAATTAACCACCACCTCAAATCAAAACCATTTCTCAAAGGTAAGAACTTTGAACACTTTAAGCAAAAGGCAAAGTAAGGAGTTGTTGCAAAATAAACAATCCACTATGCTAAAAAAATCAAATGAGAGAGAGTGAGTGAGTGAGTGAGAGAGACCTCACCGGTAACATTACATAAACTGGAACATAAGGGGTGCCTGCAAAGTCTCGCTCTTGCAACTTCAGAGGTACATCCACTACCTGATTTAGAAAAAGAAACATGTGGCAATGAGAACATAAAGTGATTTGGAAATCCTTCAGTGCAAACCATCCAAATGTTGGTGTAAATCCAAAGTTTAGCACAAATTTGTATTCTACAAGGAGGATAACCATACTCATGCAATTCTGAGCACTCCTCTTTACTTTTAAATTATAAATAAAATTTTGATGCTAGTTGATGACCAAAAAGGTAAAATTGCATGATGTGGGTAAGAATGTGAAAACCAGAAGCAAATTCAAAAATGACCGAAGTTACACCACAGATTGGTGTCACAACTGAATTAGATTTGATGACCTAAGTGTAAATTCCAAATTGCTTTTCTTTTGTTAAGATCATATTGTTGACTTTCTAGCAACTAAAAAAAATTAGGACTATCCCCCCCCCTTGCAGCATCTTTATCCCACATACATGGGATTAACCATATAAATTCTATTTTCCCATTCTAACCTATCAAGAACCATACTGCATAAACCTTAGAGTGATTCTAGGCATCTGTTGAGAGATTTAGGATCATCTATCTCTTTAATATTTTTCTCTTGTGTCTCATAATTTGTAAACTACCTATAGATCATATCCTTGGGATTGACCATATGAGTTCTACATTTCTTCACAGTTGAGTCTTAACCTCTAAGCATCATCTTCTTAGTGCTAAAATTATCACTAAACTAAAACTTTCCAGCCATATAAACCACTTGGTGTTTCTGGATTGGTCAGGTGGAAGTGGAAACTGAGATGGAAAGAAGGAAGGAAAAAAATCAAGGGAGGTGTTCTAAAATGACTATGACCCTGGCCCGGACTCAAAACCCAGGCCCAGGCCCGAAATTAGTTAGTTGGGCTAGGCTGCGATGGAATGATCACCCCTAGTCAAGGCCTATCAAATAACCAATTGTGGTGAACATAAGTGAAACAAAATCATATTTATCTATCAAGAAAAAAGGAAAGTGAACCAAAACACTAATTTTAGGAGTCTACCCCTAATAAACCAGATTCATTTAGGGAGAGAAAATTACAACTGCAAATCCAATGAACTCAACCAGGTAACCATGACCAAACCGCAGCCTTAGTCTTTAACTTACCTACAAAGAGTTGAAGCTGCCCTACATCATCTTGCCATCTGAAACTGCTGATTCAGAAATTCATAGGAAAAAAGATACGTTTCCAAGGGCTCTCTAGACTTCTATAGTTATTTCCTACCTATGCAAATAATGGGATATTTTTTATCAGTAACAATGATAAAAGAGATTTTATAAATGAAATTGGTAAAAAAGGTAGAAAAGCCTACTCTTCAGAATAATTCAAAAGCAGGCTACTCTACAACCAGCATAGGCTTCCATACAAACAGAAAACTAGAGAAAACCCAGTCTCTAGCCCCACAATTTTGTTACAGTATTCCATTCTGCCATTCTTGGATTACATTCACACAGACATGCACATATACAAGGACAAAGGGATAGCTGAACGAACATAGAAGATTAGATGTACAAGAAAGACATTGCACATCAAATGAAGGGTATATACTCCTAAAATGTTCCAAAGCAAGCACGCAGTGATGGAAATAAGAGTTGTGCCAGGCCAAACTTTCAAAGTTTCAACTAAGCTATTCAACAGTTTGATCCATTTCTTATATATTCCATTTTTCTAATCCTTTTACTAAAACGTAACTCGGCCACTTTAGAATTTAGAACCATTCAAATAAAAGCTGACACATGTTGAATGATACCAAACTAAAAATGGCAACGAATTAAGATTCGAAATTAAACTCATAGACAGTTAAGCAGTGTTTATTATGAAATTTCAAATAAAAGAATAAAATAAAAAATCAGAACAAGGACTTGTGCTTGCACAGTTGTACCTGATCACCGTCAACAGTGTCCGCACCACTACCGAGAAGAGAATTCTCAATCCTCTGTCCTTTATCTCCCACCATGCCAAGCGTTCTAGACCGAGTAGAGGATGACCTCTGGTAAGGCAATGAAGTTGGCATGAACACACTCTTCATACGACCGGAGCGATAATCCACTGTACTGTGGAACCCAGATGAGACTCCTTTCGTGGAAGCTGGCGGAGTCTGTACCGGCATCATGTGCGACGACGAAGTTGCGGCCGCATTAGAAGGGGCACCAGCAGGCCTTGCACCCTGAAAATTTTGAATAGATAAAATCCCCATTTGGGTTTTTTTCGGACTTCCTAGACTAGAAATGGAGATCACAAGCTGAATTTAGCATTCTCAAGTCAACTTGAAAACAATCGCGCGCGCACAACAAACACACAGATAAATGGGTCGAGAGAGGTGGCCGGGAAAGAAATCCGTGACAGGAGCTGTCAGATTTGAGACTGCAACTCCAGCTTCAAATCTGCATAGCAGGTTCCATGATCTGGGTGATCGCATGAAACCGTTATAACCGTTTGATGCATAGACGTCATTTCGAATGATATCCCAACAAACGTCCCAACAATTCACTAATGTGCCGCTTTGCTGGGAGAATATCGGAAAGACAGCATGGAATGGGATCTTCTGTTCTGCCAACAGAACACGTTCCAACATCTAACCCTCTACCAACTTAGTGACGGGATATTCTCCTCACAAATGGGCGCCTCACAGGCACATCCACCATGGTCATTTCGAATGATATCCCAACAAACGTCCCAACAATTCACTAATGTGCCGCTTTGCTGGGAGAAGATTAGAAAGACAGCATGGGATGGGATCTTCTGTTCTGTCAATAAAACACACTCCAACATCCAACCCTCTACCAATTTAGTGACGGGATCTGCTCCTCACAAATGGGCGCCTCCACATCCACCGCATTGGGAACATCTCCCATAATAACTAATAAGTATGGGAGATATTCTCAATGCATAATAGGATATGCGTGTTAGACGCCTCACAAGCGCCAGATGTGTGGAATAGATCCGGTCTCATTACGAACTTGATGTAACACCGCAGATCTCATTAAACATGAACCCACCATAAAGTGGGATCCACCGCCATGTATGAGATGTGCGGTGTGAGATTATATTGGTAGAGTGTTGGAAGATGTTATGTTGGCAGATGATCCGGACTCATCAAATACTGGGTCCGAGAGGTGGCGTGTCTCGCAGCTAAAAACTCAGCTTGCACCGAACCGAAGCGATTTCAAGGAACTTGACGCTACTCCAAACGGCATCTAAAACCTCATGAAAATTCCACTAAATTGGGATCTTTCATCTCCGATGTTCCATTAACTTGTCCACAGAAAAACAATTCCAATCGGATGGTTATAAGTAAGTTTCTACTTCTATAGCATTCCATCACATCAAAGTTCGTGATAGATGATGCTACGAGAGGGGAGACTCTGAGATTTGCTGGTCAACACAAAACATTTCATTCATCAAAATCCAGTAAGCAAAGAGAAAGTGTCCGAACTCCGAAGAGGTCGGTGACTCGGTGGAGCCGTAGAAGCAGAAGGAGCCAGTAGAAATTCAATTCGAAGTTTCGATTTTCGAACAATAAAAAAAAAAAAAGAACAGAGAGAGAGAAGGCTTCGCTGAAACAAAGGCAGATATGTATCCATATAAAAAGAGTAAGGGGGCGAGAGAGAGCTAGAAGAAGGCACCTGATTTCTAGACGGAAAGGTGGTTCCGTCTGGAAGGACGATCCAGCCAGCCTCTCGCGCCAGAGCAGCTATCACATCGTTAATGTCAGCTCTAACTCTGAGGTTATAGTTGCCGTGCCTGCGGAGTCCTGCCAAGATCCTTGCTGTGATCGATCTCCGGTGCCGCTCTCGTAGCTTTGTTCGTTCTTTCTCCTCTTTTGGTCGACACCTTCGAACCCCACCGGAGGCAGACAGTTGCTCTTGATGTTGTTGTTGAAACTGACTTGTGCTGTTTGGTTCAATTCCTTCATCCGCGACGGCCATTTCGTTCGCGCTGTTCGCTTTCTTCCCTTCATCGTCTTCGTCTTCATCGACGTCTTCTTTTACTCCCATTTCCATTTCTTCATCATCTTCTTCGCTTGTTCCCCCTAATTTCTCCATCTCTTGGGTCATGGTACCTATTTTTCTGTTTCTTTTCTCTCCTTTTCTTTTATTTTCTTTTTTAAAATGATAAAACTATAATTCCTGACCTTTATTTTCTTTTTGAAATGCCAAAACTATAATTCCTTACCTTCTTCGCATAATTTGTTTCTGTCAAATAGCGATTATGCTACGCTGCTGTCCAGATCTGAGCAACTCCATTCATTTTAAGGCTCTGAGGAATTGCTGCAGACTCTGGTGTCAGCTCAATAAAAAGTGATTGTCTATTTCCTGAGTGAAATTTGGAAGATTATGTATTAATTTTGCTGGTGATCTTGACTTTTTCTGCCGCCTTATTTCGAACTGCGTATGGATTGGATTTCGTTTAGACAAAGAAATTGAAGAAAAAGGTAAAATTAAATTAAACCCTTTATAATTTGAATAAATTTGAGCTTTCCGATGTTACCTTCTCTATTATCTTGTCGACTGGAAAACTACATCCCGATTCATTCGCGCCATCCGCCTAAGAAGTCATGGAAATCTGAATCGCTTTGCAGCTTTTCTTTCAAGTTTAGACGGTGAATGCTCACTTCAACACGTCGCTCTCTCCTCTCTGTCAATACTTAGGGTTTCCCCTTGAATCAGAACTAATTGAATCCTTGACAACCTCACTTTCTACTTTCCCATAGATGCGGACATTTACGGCGAAGTCACCTAACAAAATCTCACCTTTCTCGACCAATATCAGATTTCCTGGCGAGCTTTAGAAATTCCTAGGCCTTCTCCGGTGGAATTGAAACCTTTTTCCGGTGAATTGTCTCGAAACTGGAAGTTCTCCGGCGTGTATAAACAGATCTGTTACAGATTTGACTATTGGAGGTTTTTATTTGGTTTTCAATGGATCGGATTTGTGACTTCCGGCGAGTTTCCGGCGATCGGAGAAAGAGTTCATGGGAAGCTGCGGATTCTAGGGTTTCACGCGTGTGCGGCCACTTGCTTGAGTTTATGCTAACACGAATGAAGAGCATCGGCAAAGAGAAATAATCGAACGGCCGTGCGAACGACACGTGTCACACGTGCCGATGGTGTGGATTACGCACGCGGGTTTAGAGGGCGTCGTCTGCCGAGGGCACTTAGTTCGTGAACCAACAGATTCGTGTTAATATCTGTAGGAGCTGTGGAAACTGGAAAGAATCCGATCTTATTTCGTCGAATTCGGATCAGATCGAATTTGGATCACCCCTTTATTCGATTCGATATATGTTATATATATTATTTATATTGTATTTTTATAAATTTGTTATACTATTTATTTTTTATAAAAAGTATGTATATATAATGAAATAATTAAAAAGTATTTGTATTTTTTTATTTTTTCTTTATTTAAATTGGTATATTTTATTTTATTCTTAATAATTTATTAATTTTTAAAGAAAACAAGTCAGATCAGATCCAAAGATTTGATATACCGATAGGATTCGAATTCAAGTCAAGGCTTATTAGATTCGATCTAATCCGATCTTATTCGACATGAACAATGTCAGATTGGATTCAAACATATCCTAATTCAAATCTGATCCGGTCCATTTGCATCCTACAGGAAAGCAATCTGATACATATTTTCGCTTCATGTCCAATTGTCCTAACTAGTAGTGTTTTACCTAAAAGTTCAAGACTCAATCCAACATCCGGTCCAATTATCTCAAATTCGGATGATGTATATATAATTGAATCAGATTCAGATGTTACAATTTACATCCGATTAATAATCAAATTTGGATTTGACCCATCCAATCCGATTATAATATAACATTTATTAATTTTTAATATAAGTTTTACATAATTATATTTAAAATTATAAAAAAGATATTCTATATATTATATTATATGTGAATTTATGTATATAATAAATTTAGTGTGTTATATTTATATTAATTTATTATATAAAGTTTAAAAAAAATAAATAAATTTTCAATATTTCTGATATATTAGAAAATTTGTAGTGGAATCGGATTAAATCTGAATCCGATCCGAGTCTGTTAGGATTCAGATTCGAATCCAAGTCTTTAAATCCGATCAAATTCGGATGTATGCTATCAATAAATGGATGGGATGTGGATTTTGCTGCATCCGATCCGATTACAGCCCTACACACTAGTATGAAAATATTATAATTTAGGGTAAATTGCTGAAACATTCACTCAAGTATTTTATGATTGTTGAAACCTCCTTTAAAGTTTAGTAATTGCAATCATCAATCACCTCCCTTTAAAGCTAGACCCCCTTTGTTAGAATCCTCTAGACACAAAAAATGTTAAAAATACGCATGCAATTATTGTTAGTTTCTACCAAAAAAAGAATACAAATTTTGTGAAGAACAAAAAAATAATAGAGTTTAAAGTTGTAGCTTTACCTTTGAGCGACTAATAAGAATGGTAAATTTGGAAAATAATTCAATTTTGAAAAGAGATTGGAACGTAGGGGTGTAAACGGATTGAATTCGAATCAGATCAGGCAATATTTGAATTCGAATCCAATTAAAAAATTCAATATCCGAATTTGATTCGATATCGGACGAATATTGAAAATTAATATCCAAATTCGAATCCGATTAAATATTCGAATATTCGATTCGATTTGAATTCGACTAATTATTTATTTTAGGTAATTAATAAATATATAAAATAAATATTTTACTTATATAAAGTATATAAATATATAAATTATTTATATAATTTAATTATTATATATATAAATTATATAAAACATTTAAAAATTTTATATATTATATATTAGAATTAAATAATTGATCGAATTCAAATATTTATCGAATCGAATCAGGTCATATCCGAATTTGAATCCGATTATCTATTTAGTATGAATAGGATATCCGAATTCGACCGATTAGATATTCGAAATATTCGAATCTGATTCAATTATGTCTAATCTCGATTTCAAAATCGGATTTTCGAATACCATTGACACCCCTATTGGAACAGTTTGAGGTAACGAATGATAAGAAGAGAAAATTTGAAAAATAAACATTTTGATAAAATGTAATTAGATGGGTATTTAGGGCATTTTTATGCCTCTTGTTAAAAGATTCTGATAAAAAGGTCTACTTGCAAATGTATTGGAAAGTTCAGGGGAGGTGATTGTAACTACCAAACTTTAGGAGAAGATTCAACTACATTCAGAAACTATAAGGAAGGATTTAGCAATTTACCCTTTAATTTATTTACTCTCTTTCCCTCTTCATATGGACTCTATGAGTTTACACTTTACCCATTCAATTTAATAGTATGATCAAAGATCGAATAGAATACATATTACTTTTTTATATATAGTGATTATATTTTTTATGTAATTGCCTACTCTTTAAAAATTACCTTAAAATACCCTTAAGTTTTTTTTTTCTAACAATTGACTAAATCCTTCCATATCGTTAGTCTTCATTAATGGCAATATGAGAAAGACTAATATATCCATCATTCTTCTTTAAACTTTCAAATTACAATATTTGATAACATCTTGTTGGTCTTCTCCTCATGGCAAATTTTCTTTGTTTGGCATAGCTTTCTAATAGATAGAGATGTCCAATGAAATTATTTGTGGAGAGAGATTGGGCCAAATGGGCCCTAGCCCATTAGTGTCTTTCTTATTAATTCTTTCTTGTTATGTTTTCTTTATTGGGCCTTTTCTTTATGGGCCTTTAGCTCTTGTTTATGTTTTCTAAGTATAGTGCTGATGTGGACGCCTACTTAAGGGCAATCTTGTAAATTATGTAACTTAAGCAAGTTTATTAAAAGATTAGTGAGAGAAAGATGAGATTATCGAACTCCTCCTTTCTTTTTCCTTTCTTCTCCAATCTTCCTCCTTCGTCTTGTTGTCTGCTTCTTCTTCCCTAATTTTGTTTGCTTTATTTTGAAATATTCTACAAATTTTATTGGTTTGAATCACATCTTGGTATCAGAGCAGGTTTTCCTTCCGTTTTTCCTTTTTTCTTTTTTTTCCATACACCTTTTTTTCTAATCGAAAGGTGTATGGAGAGATAAATTGTTGATTATTCAGAGATCTTGTTTTTCTAGTTGGTAGAGGGTTTGGAGAGTCAAAATCTGGTCGAAGATTGCCAAGAAAGTGGGATTGCAAACTTTTTTCCCAAAACCCTAGCCGACTAGAGAATTTCCAGTTATGGGTTCAAGAGGCTGTTTGGGTGTGGCACTTAAGGTTTGGAGGGTTCCCTTTTATCTCCAAAGTGGGCAGCTGTAGTTGGAAGTGGTATGGATAGCTCTGGTTTGAGCGGCTACCTCTTCTCTCTTTCTCCCCGGAGGGCAGGTACGGTGAAACCCTAGTTTTGGGGATTTTGAGTGCTTGACTGACCTTAGTTAGGTCTATAAAGGTTAAAAACATTATTTTTTTTCGTTTGATTGATGGAGCATTTTGAAAGTGAGGTGAAGCAGATCCCGGTGTCGGGGGTTGGTCCCGTAGATTCCTTTTCGACAAGAGTGACTACAATTAAACTTGACGGAACAAATTACCTCTCTTGGGCACATTCTATTAAGATCCATGTCTGTAGTAGAGGTAAACTAGGGTTTCTAACGGGTAGTAAAGCAATGTCGGATGAGTTTGACCCTACATATGAGAAATGGATGCAGAATAACTACACAATTATTGGGTGGTTGGTAAATTCTATGCAACCCCATATAAGTTAACACTATCTGTAGATGACGTCAGCCAAGGAGATTCGGGATAGTGTGACAAAGACATACTCTCAAAAATTAAATGTTGCAAGGGCTTACAAACTAAAGAGTGATGTGAAGAATTTAAGACGGGGAAGAAGAGTGTGGCTGTCTATTATTCGATGTTGAAGTCACTATGGCAGAAGTTGGATGTTCTGGAAGCATTTGTATGGAAAAGCACCAAAGATGTCGAAACTTTCAAGAAATTTGTGGAAAGAAACAAGGTGTTTGAGTTCATTTCAGGACTCAATCTTGAATTTGATATTACAAGGCAAAATATCTTGGCCAAGGATGAAGTGTCACTTGCACAGGCATACTCTATGGTGAGCAGTGAAGAAAACTGGCGACAAGTATAGCTACAGACCCCACCTCCTTTAGAACATTTTGCACATGCTGGAATAAAACCAAAGGGGCTAAATGAGAAAAAGGAGGTGATACGTGAATACTGCAAGAAGCCAAAACATACTAAGGATTCTTGTTGGAAGCTTCATCCAGATCTTCTTACTGAGAGGTTTCGAAACAACAACAGCTTTAAGAAGGGTGGCCAGTCTGAAAACCCAAGAATGAAAATGTTGCCACAGTGTTTGAATGTGAAGAAAAATCTGTTGTGGAATTGTTGGCAATAGTGAAGGCAGAATTTGAGAGATATGAGAAGCTAATAAATCACTTGGAGTCTACTATTGCATCTTCCTCCTCAAGAACCCCCTCTACGTCCGCTTTTGCCTATTCAGGTATTCGTGTTTTTGCAAATCATGCTACAGTCTCAGGTAATCATAGAATTCCTTGGATCATAGATTCTAGTGCATCAGACCATATGACTAGCCTACCCAACCTTTTTTGTTCGTACCAGCTCCTCTTGGGTAGAGAGAAGATTTCTCTTGCCAATGGGTCTCTTGCTCCCATCTCTGGCAAGGGGAATATTAAAGCCTCTGATTCACTTGTATTATCCTTTATCCTTCATGTTCCCAAACTTAGCACTAACCTTTTATCTGTTAGTAGTTTAACAAAATCAATGAACCGCAGCATAAACTTCTTTCCTACTTATTGTGTTTATTAGGACCTGAAGTCTCAGAGAACGATTTGGAGTGGCCATGAGGCGAATGGGATATATACTTGTTGGATGTCTTTGATCAAAGTCCTGGATTACCTAGTGGAGTTGCTTTGGAGTCTGTTTTATCAGAGTTCGTTAATAGATTCATGACATGTCATTTCAGATTTGGTCATTTGTCTTTTTTAGCTTTAAGTCATTTGTTTCCAGAAATGTTTAAGGGAATATCCCTATTGAGTCTTCATTGTGAGTCATGCGAACTTACTAAACATTGTAAACAATCTTTTTCAATGAGTAATAAAAGATCTATTTCTCCTTTCCAGATTGTGCACTCTAATGTGTGGGGGCCATATCATTTACCTGCTATGGGGGGCTACAAGTATTTCATTCTTTTCATTGATGATTTCTCTCGTTACACATGGATTTATCTTCTGAAATCCCGAGATGAAGTACCATATTG